AATTATGCATCACTATCTTTTTGAATAAATTCATTGTCAATCAATTTAGTAAAAAGTACTTCAATACTAACTGAAATTATTTTTTTTTATCAAATACAATATAAATACACAATGTTTTTAATTTAACAAAGTAAATCAGCAAGTTCAATCATTTCTTTACTGTAATGATGGGCCTAGGTAACTACAGTAGAGCCTTGATTATCTGACCTAATTGGGGACTGGGGTTGGTCGGATAATTGAAAGGGCGGATAACCGAAAAGTATGAAAAAAATCTATTATTAGTGTAGTATATTATTATATCCCATGTAATTAGTATATTAGTATATCGCTATTAACCTACTTTGCGTTGAATTTTCATCGATGTTAAGCCTAACAAAAATTTTTTTAAATAATAATTATTGCTATTGTATCGTTAAAAATTAGAAAATTAAGCCTCGTTTAAATACTGGCTCCCTTTCATGGTCGAATGAGTGTTGCCAGCTAAAACACGTAAAAATAATATTAAAGTAGCTGAGACATAGCCAAATATTGTAGCGCCACATCAATAGCGGACATTTGAAATTTGCCGACTAGGACAGTCGGTTAACCGAGGGGTCGGTTGATAGGGGGTCAGATAATCGAGGCTCTACTGTAGTAGTTATATCTAGATTCTTGGTAGTTAACTAGAAATTACATTTAGTGTGCCTTTTCACTAGTTAAACTATTAATTTAACTATTTTTTTTAGTAATTTTTAACTATTTATTGTAACTAGTATTGTTTTTAATATTATTGAATGATTCTGTTTTCTTTTGCTTGTTGAATACATGGTTGGAAATCTCTCCTACTAAATTTCACAACTGTTAGTCAATTGATTAAAATATATAAAGAATTTTTGATTAATTTAAGTGTTTTTAAATGTAGCTATAAAAACATTTATGCAGAAATATGTTCCCCAACACCCTCTTATGATAATATTTAAATACAACACTAAAGAATATTGTATTCAAATGTATTCATGTAAAACAGTGTATTCAAGATAGCATTGATAGATTTGATATAGTTAATATTCCTTAAAAATACAGTAATTTACAAAAATTTCAGAATATTTAGAAGTTGAAATAATATATGTAAACTGAATGTGTCATTTGCAACAAGATACATTAATTTCTGCAAGAAGTGTGCATCATCTTTAAATGTTCTTCTCAAGTGGTTAGGTAGACAATTTCTCATAAATCAGATAAACTGTACACATTTGAAAAATATTGCATCTGTAACAAATTAGATAAGACAAGCAACAACAGAATATTTGTAAAGTTCATACCATCATTCATATATGAGAGTAACTGCTCATTATAGATTTATAATTTTCTTTCTAGAAATGTTTCCTCATTGCCTGTAGTTATATTAAAGGTGTGCACTCTTATTGACTCATTTTTAGTTCAGATATTTAATGAATTTGGAATTAAAAAAAGTTACCAATTATCACTGATAATGTTTTCATTTTATAAGTGTCTTTTGCAGTTTTACCAATGGATCTTATAACTCCAATTAGCCAGAGAAACTCAAATAAAATACAAATAGATTACAATCATTTACAGAAGACAATAGTGATGGCAATTCCAATGTAGATGAGGAAACTTCTAATAAAGTGGAAAATATTTCAGTTTTACCATTATTTGCAAACAAAAAATTAATAGATTTAAATGATAATGTTAGGTATGGTAGTAATAGACATTCAAACAACTTATCTTTTTTCATCTAATATACTTGCTGTAATCATACATTGAATCTAGTTTGTACTACTGATGCTCTTAATGCTAGAAACAATACACAGTGTAATCAATTCTGAATGCAGTTTCATGGAGCATCAAAGCAAATGATTTGTACTTCAGATTACCAATATTTTTCATTCATAAAGCTTATAGACACAATGGTTATTGAATTAGCTTTCAAAAAAAATAATGATAGACATAGGCTTTAAAGATAGTAGTCAAATGTCAGAAAGTATTAAATTTAGAAACAATGAAAGTAGGAGAAATGAATTTTCTTATAAGTACTTTTTCTTGTATGAAACTCTTATCTGAAGCAATGAATTTCTTTGAAAGATATTAATATAATAGTTATCTAGTATTTTTAATTCCCACTTATGTTACAACAATGAAAAAATTGGAAAAATAGCTATTAAATAATGAAGATAATATTTATTTACCTTTAGTAAATGCTCTCATAAATGACTGAAAAGTTTACACACTTATTGACTTATCCTAAAGATATAATAGCCACATCTTTTACTACCTAAATATCCTTTCAATGAAAATAAAAATAGTTTTCATAAATTGTATGTTGCAGTGAAAAAATTTGCTGTTAATAAGGAACATCATAAAAACAAAGCTAATAAAATGACAAATTTGCAAAAGCAAGAAGATAACTTTGACAGTCTATGCTTATTTGACTATTTGGAAAATGAAGCTCAATTAAGCAAAAGAAATTATTATTATAAAACTAACATTGATGCACACTTAGCATCAGCAGATGGCAATCTTGTTTCCTTGCATGTATATAAACAAATTAAAAAGCTTGTTTTGTGTGAGTGACAAATATTAATATCACAGAGATGGAGATTGTAAGATAGAAGTTTTGAAAAATTGTTGTTTTTGAGGAATGCTTTAAATTATCGGAATTATTTTTAAATTAATAGCTAATTTATAACTAGCTTTGATTAGCAAATTGATAAAAAAGTAAGGATGGGCAAACTAGTACAATAAAGGATAAGATTCAAGCTCTCAATGAGGGGTTTTGCACCCCCCAAGAATTGTAGGCTTCCTATATGAGAAAAAAAGTCAAAGGAACTATACCTGTACATGCAAGCCTTTGTGACATATTTGCCTCCAAATGTCAAGTTTTAACTACAAATCATACTACAAATCAATATTTGATCTTTTTATATTATAGTACAATATAGAGAATCTCACTTAGCTGAAAATTGTAAATATTAAAATAGAAAAATAAATTTCTTCCATTTTAATAATTGTGTATTATTTTATGCTTTAAATGAATTTCTGGTGATATAATATTGATACATCTATTTGTAAGGTTGTAAAAATATTTAAAAAAAAAGAAAAAAAAATTTGAAAAGGGGTTAAAATATCATTTTTAATTAGTAATTAACTAGTAGTTGAAATTAGTGAAAAAAGATAGTAGTTAAAACTAGTAGTTAATTACTTTTCTTTTGTACCACTTACTAGTTAATAGTTAACTATCCTTTTAGACTTAATTCAAGCTCTGAATGAGATGGTTGGGACCTTATCAAAGCTGTAGAGCATACCCATAGGAGCAAAATGTCAGAGAAACCATACCTCTACAACCTTCATGAGATATAGTCTCCCAAAATCAGGTTGCGCAATATTGCAAGTTGTATCACTCCACTAAAGCTATTGTATTTAACTATTTAGTCCATGTGACTATGCCGACTTCAAGTAGCCCACTTGACAGTTTGTGTAGTACTTGATGTTATATAGTTTTAGGGGGGTGTGGGCTCACTCCCACCCAGGCACTGAGGTGCTAGCTATGGCTTGCACCAAAGTGCACGAATATATGCAGTGTTGGTCAAGGCTCGCTATTGCTTGCCTCAACAATGCAAAGCATGGAGAATAGGCAGTATAATGATACATGCTAAAAACTGATATTTAGAGGCAAATATGTCACGAAGGCTTGCACATACATCTTTGACTTTTTTCTCATATAGGAAGCCTATAATTCTTGGGGGTGCAAAACCCCTCATTCATAGCTTGAATCTTACCCTTTATTGTACTAGTTTTCCCATCCTTACTTTTTTATCAATTTACTAATCGAAGCTAGTTATAAATTAGTTATTAATTTAAAAATAATTCCAATAATTTATTATTAAAACAAATATTATAATAGATTAAATATATGTGTATATGTTCAAAAATTGTAAGAAACTTCCCATTTATAAAGTTGTATGCGATCTTAATAGTTAACAATAAAAAAATTCAAAATATTACAAATTTTAAAATTAAATAAAACACGAATATAAATATTCAGTCTTGTTTGTTTACCTATTGTTTTGGATACATTAAGTTCACAACTGTTATCTAATCATGAACTTCCTGGAAATGAATCAATTTCTATAAATTTAACTAAACTTTTTTAATTTAAAATTATTCAAACTTTATGTATGTTATATCTAAATAACTAAAACATACAAAAAAAATAAAAATCTATTATTTAAAACAAAAATATGTATTAAGAAATATAACCTAGAAAATTTAAGAAACTTTTTCTATTTTAATTTTCAATAAAAGTTTAAGCTTAAGCTTAATTACTTTATTTAAAAATGATTAAAATTTAGCTTTTTTGTGGAAAATTATTATATATATATATATATATATATAAGTATAAGTATGCATTATTTATGAATAGAAAGACATTTTTTACCATTTTATTTAGATATTTTATACTGCGACATTCACAAGTTACAATCACTACAGAGAGAGTTAGAAATTAATTNTTAAAGGACTTCATACAATCTACGAAGTTCTAACATTAATTCAATTAGTGTTTATAAAAGGCAAATACAGTGTAAATCATATTTCTCGGTTTAAAATCATTTCTGAGAATTGCACTGAGGTATTACAGGAGGAAGTCGCAACTCTTTTTTTTTAAATTATAAATAACATCAATGTAAAAGTATTGACATTTAATAATAATAATAATAATAATATAAGTAAAATGAAATATATAAATAACATTCTCTGTAAAGGATTAAATTTACCTTTCCTTCTCTAAGTTCAAACGATCTACATTTAAAACCATTGCAGATTACACATCAACAAACAACGCCCCCATTTATAAAATCTTCTAATTAAAAATTAAATTTCTAAGTGATTAATTTTTTTTAATACATATTTGAAATATTTATCGCTTTATCGAAATTAAATAAAATAATTAATATTTATTTTTATCGTAAATAAATTACAAATATTTTTATATACAGTAATAAAGTCATAGACATAATAAGTTTTATGGTTCAAGTTCATCATTCGGTTCGGATTTTTCCGAATGAAGAATTTCGTTCCATCCTTCCAATTTCGCTTTAAGAGTTTCGGTATCCGTTGTAAGTAATTCTTGAAGGAAGCTTATCGATTGAAATGGTCCTTTCGCCGATATTACCACGTTAATTTTTTCGTCAATTCTTAAAGTCATATTATCTAATGGCGCTAACCAGCTGAGAATTTTGCGCAAAGTCTGTAACCTTCTATGTTTATCTCCTGGAATAATTTTCATAAGAAGTTTTATTGGCTCCATTTCCACCGATTCCTTTGGTTTCTTTTTATCTTCAATGGGACAAAATGCCTTTGGATTTGCAGTAGCAGCTAGAAGATGATAAGTTTCTCTAGCATAAGAGGGAATCCATTGCAAATTATCAGGAAATGAAGATTCGTTTCTTGCCATCTTCAAAAATGAGAAGCAAAGATTAATAATGTTTATTGTTTTAATATTTTCTTCTTCGTTTCTTTCATTGTAGTAACAGTTTTTGTCTAAGAATTTATTAAAGTATTTAGCCAACCATGCTTCTTTTGCAGAATCGATTCGTTCTTTACTACTTAGCCACCCGATTATCAATCTATATGTAAATTGTATAATGTTTTTATGAATTTTATGACAGTTTGCTAGAAGCAGCATTTCACTCTGGGATTTAGGTAATTTTCTTGCCATATCCGCTAAACGTTTATCTAAAAAGTTAATAATGGACGTATTAGAAGTTGTTGCAGGTCTAATTAAAAATTTCTGTAGCTTTAGAGTAATCAAATGTTTGGCCACAATCCAAGGAAAACTGAAGAAACGTATAGAATTTTGAAAGTCTTTTGGTCGAAATAAGTAGGTAACTGCATACCATGCAGATGCTTTCTTTAAAATTTTGTCTTGAAAGTTACTTAAATTTACAAAATCGTTGTCTTCATTTTCATTAAGGCCAAACTCCTTATAAAATTCTTCTCTGAAACGTTCATGCAATTTTTCAACTGAACCAATTAGAAATTTTTCTACGTCTATTATATCGTGTCTTTGACTAAATCGTTCATGAACTTGTTGAAAAGCTCCAGTTATTAATTCCACTTCGGTTTCAATACCGTATCTTTGCATAATGCACTGTAAAAGATAATCATATTTCGCCTTGGATTTTAAAGCAGAGTTTTTATATTCTTCCCATCCTTCATAAATTAAATCAGGATCATGCTACAAAAGAAAATTCAAATTTTATATAATACTGTATATATTTCTTTATTATTGTAGTTTTAATTATAATTAATAGTTTCTAATAATAAAAAAATTTTATCAATTATGAACGTTTTTGTAGTTCTTTAAAATACTTATTTTAAAAGTAAAAAATGACTTACTTTTAAGTCTACAGTTTCTAATTCAATAGAACTTGTATTTCGTTCAAAAAGTTTACAGTTTCTATATAATTCTCCCAGAGCTCTGTTAGAAATATAAGTTTCTTTGTCAACTCTTTCCATGAAATCGGGAAATTTTTTAGGCTTTTCATCTAAACTTAATGGTTCAAAATATCCAGATTTTACATAATCCAAAGACAGTGAAAATTTTCTCGCAATTTGTTTGCATACGTCTATATTTAATCCATTGCAGTCTGAAATGGCTAAATGAGCATTTCCAATCGTTCCAATTTGATCATTTTTTATATAATCGCTCAGTACTTGTACCGAATCATCCAGCTGGAAAGAATTTTAAAAATGTTTAAAGTTTATTTTAAAATCATTTATTTATAGAATTTAAAAACTAACCTTGAATTTTGTTTGAGGTATTTTCTTTTCAGGAGGAGAAGGAAAATTTTCGGGTTCTCTGTTTCCGGAGAAAAATAAATCTTTCTTCCAGATAACAGCGTATTCATCTCCATCAAGATCAGAACCTAAATATAAATCAGATTTAAATAGATAATATTAGAAAGAAAACAAAATTAAATAATTTTTTTTCTGTTTCGGTTATTTAAGAATTATTAAATTTAAATTATGAGTAAGAAATTGCAACTTTGGGTTGACTTATTATACAAATAATTTTGATTTCTTATTTTAATTCGTAAGATTTTATGAAGAAAGATAAATACATTATAATGAAAGTTTCTGGGCAAATTAACTAAACAACTAAATATGTCTGGATTGAAACATATTTCGGTTTAAAAGAAGAATTTAACTAGCGAATATTTTTGGGTCTTGGGATAGATTGGTTTCTATTCTTCATTCAAATCTTTGTGGTCCTAATAGCTTCAAGAATAAATTGTTTAGTCACTTTAGTGAATAATTTCAAATATTGTATCGAAATTTTCCATCTAATTTTAAGCATTTAAAAAGTACAAACCAGCCATTTCATTCGGATGAGGTCGGGGTCCTTTTTGTGGAAAAGCTACACAGTCAACAAGATGATGAAGTTCTGGGACATCGATGGCTTCTAGAAGTCGGATATCACCAGGTTGCGTGCATGGATTTTTTGTCACCAGAACTGGACCTGAAATAAGTTTTTTTTTTTTTTTATTCATTTTTACTAAATCATTGATGATTAAAAATTACATAGAAATACTAAAAATTTAAAACATATTTACCAGTATATATTTCAGTTTCGGTATTTACTTCTTGATTAATTATATCTTTAGTATATTGTACAAATACTTGTCCATATTCCAGAGTTCCTGTTTCATCCATGACTCCGAACATGTTACGACCATCGGTTGGTTTTACAGCAAGTCTAGCTTTTACTTTAATATCCACTGCAAAACAAAAATTTTAATTTAAGATTAAGGTAAATTAATAAAATTTACATAAAATGCATTCATTATTTACACAAAGCTCTTTCTCTTAGACATAGCAACATTCCTCTGAAAAATGGATCTCCTGTTAATCCAATTCCAGCTTTAACCATATCTATGAATCCTCCAATAGTCTTTAACTGTATTTTTGAAGTAAGATAATCAGCAGCTTTTTCATCATCAATTAGAATATCTGTGATATATGACAGCATCTCTTCTTGCATTTCTAAAAATATATTGTTTGGAACTCCTAGTTGATTCAAAATATTTATCATTGGACGATTCAATTGAACAGGAACTAAAAAATACATTATGTAAGACATTTAATTATTATCTTGAACATTTCATATATTGCAATTTACATAAAAACGTAAATTATTATTAAAATCACTTACTTGCTTGACATTTTTTTACAATTTCTAATCTACTGAAAGGACTGTCGAACTTCTTCATACTCTTTCTGAATACAAGATCTATTCCAGTGTCAGTTAATGTGGGATCCATAACTAACATACCTTTGTAACCAGCAAATCTTATTTGATATGCACAAGGGACATTTTTTAGTTTTAACATTTTGCTTACCTAAATGTAAAAATCATACACAGATGTTAATTAAAAGTTTAAAAGAATAGAATTTGACGAGAATGGAAGATGTCATTAAACCATGTAACAAATAATTTGTTTCTATAATACAATATACTTAATGAAATTATAGATATATATGTAACATTTAAGAATTTACGAAATTCAACTTACATCTTTGGCTAATCTTACTGACATTCTTCCAACTCCATCCGAAAAACAATAAGGTTTATTTGTGTCAGGATTAAGGCCCCCTTCAATATCATCCACAGTTTTGATTGCATCAGGAGGAATATTTCTGATATCTTCTGTCTGAGAGAAACACTGTCCTAAACGAGCCATATATTTTGCAACGGTTTTATTTCCAGAAAAATCTCCCATAGAGTTTCTAATATACTCAGAATCATAACCTTTATCGTCTTTTGCATACATCCAAACTCCATGGTCTCTTATCTGGGAATTTGACCAAGCTAAAAGTTTATACTCTCTTTCACAAACTTTAAGTCCTTCAAGCATAGGCTTATTGATTGCCATATAAAACAAGTCATCGTGACAGTTAGAAGCAATTCCATTGAGCTTAAAGTTATCATCGTCTCTAAAAGAAACTCTCAAGGCATAATCTGAATTATAATTTCTCAGCATTCTGTTTTTGAATTGAAATTCTGGAGGATAAAATATAGCTCTAGTTGGAGTTAAGACTACTCTTCGAATCAATTTCATAGTGTTTGGAGTAATAAATTCATCATTATCAAAGGAAACTATATCGTCTTTTTCTTTCATCCAGTTGTATGCAGTCTTAATAGTCTTCCGATAATCAAACAAAATTCCTTGATCTTGAATGTCTAAAATATACTCTAAGGCTCTACTTAAACAAAATTTATCTTTGTATTCATTTTCCAGTTCTTGTATAAAATCGTCCCAAATTTTGTTTTTATTAAGTTGTTCTAAGGGTACAAAGTTTCTTGTAAGAATGGCATGCAAGTTGTAATTACAGTCAAAATGTCCTAAATCAAAGGAAGGCATTATAGGATAACGTTTTTGAAAAATTCTTTTTTTCATAGAGACATAATTAATAGACATATTGTTAGAAGTGCTAAATCTATCAATGATTGCTTTCGCTGTTTTGACATCATTCATTCGAATCATAAAAACTGTTGATTTACCATGAATTTCTCTATCTACAGAAGGTAAAGTCAAGACTCTTTTATCATTGCAATATACTGGCGGTGGATACTTAACATCAATGAATATGTAAATAGAAGAGTTAAGTACTTCGGCAAGTATTCTTCTAACTGAACTATATTTGATTTTAATTTGGTAATCGTCACAATTTATTTCTAACATACGAGTATCGTGATAAAAATTTGCAAAGGAGTTCTTTTCTATTAAATGGTAGAATACATAATTATTTAGACTCGTTAAAACTCCCATAGAGAATAAATCTAATTCTATTTTTTGATGAAAAAATTTACTTTTAGAAACAAGATTATTGTGAATAAGAACCATCCAATATTTAGTATTCATTGTACACCATTTCTTAATCATGCCGTCTAAAATTTCTTCTTCTGAACTTTCAAAGTTTTTAATTCCACCTACAAGATCGATTGTTTTTTCATCAAAACTTAATTTTTCTTTAGGGTTTTCTGTACGTTCTAATTCTGGCCAGTACAGATGAATTTTGCATTTTTTCATTTCATCTTTTAGCGTTTGCTTAAACTTTTCAGTAAAGCCCTTATCCCACGAACTTATAATACGAAACTTTACATACATACTGCGATTTCTAAAAGGAAGAATAAAAAGTAAGAAAAAGAATATTTAAATTAATTTTTAGTTTTTTACATTCAAACATTTAAAATTAACACTACAATAAATACCGATAAGTCTATTTTAAAAATAGTTATTGATATCTTAACGATAATACTTCATTTAGAATTAAAAAGAAGATATCTAAAGAATTTAACATTGAGAACGATTATAAATTTTTATAGTAGATGTAATATTTATAGAATTTACAAATTTTCCTAGAAAATTATGTATTTAATAAAAGATTTATAGATTAAAAAATTATATAGATATGTTATAAATTAAATATAATAACTAAAACATGAATATATATTTTCAACAAATATTCTACCGAGTTCTGAGAAAGTTCAAGTATTAATATATAAATTTTATATAATAAAATTCATTATTACTTTCTAGANGTATTATATACAGTAACAATATCGAGAATTAAACGCATTAATTCATTACTTTCAGAATACAAAATTTTAAATTTTTCCTCTAATTTTTCTCTTTTAATGGTTTTTAATAGCTTCAATAAAAAATAAAAGTAATAAATTAATTATTAATATTCTTAAAAAATAATTGGCTAATTAATTAAAGATCTTTGTTTTGACTGATCTTATTAAAAATTATGCTAACATCTTTTCTAATATTTGAAACATAATCTGACTTCATATTAGTTTAAACAATAATTTATATAGCATAGAATACATTAATAATATTTTATAAAATTTATATAACATGTCAAAAATTATAATGAAATTCATAATAAACTATAAGTTGTAAATAATTGTTAAATATATTTTAAATCTTTTTAAATAAATCAATAATATTTAATATAACTTACATTGATTTTTCCATTTTTCAATTGTGAAAAAGCGTGAATTGAAGAAACTGTAAAAATGATGCCGATTTTATACACATAATTCGTTTTCTCAACGAAAAACTGAACGAAAAAGTCTACAGTGAAAATAGAATGGAGTCTTGTTTCAATTATGAAGTTCTTATTTTAATGATATATTCATTCATATTACTTTTAATTGTGATTATATATTACTATTTAAAAATAATTTTTCTTCTGAAAATCATTTAACTATTAAAACATTTTTATAAAAATTCTTTCCCCCCTCCTTGTGGGCACTAAGAGGGTTTTAAATATTCGGCATAAGTTTTATTTAAACTTTAACACTACGTTCTTAATTTTGGAAAAAAAATCCCTTTTAAAAATTTAGTACAATGTACTGTATTTTAAAATATTTATAAACTTTATAATTTAAAATAAATGGTAATTTAATTTATAACAAATGGGGAATCTTTCCAATCGGAAGGCGAAATCTGATTTCAATAGGGTCTCATAGAGCCCATGCTACATTGCTGGTATCATAAAAGGTATGCATTCACAATAAAATGTATAGATATCTTTATATTTATTGATAGATAAGTGTCTTTAGTGTAAATAGAATTTAAAATATACTGTTATAATTCAAAATTTATAGCAGCAAAATTAAACTTATACCATTTCATATTTTACCAGGCTGCACTAGTAGCCACAAAAGGCTTCATGTGGCTTGAAGACTACAGTTTCCTACCTCTAAATTACAAAGATGATATTTTCTCTAGTTTTTTTCTTTATTTACATTATTGTTTTTTGTTTATATATTACAAAAATTAATAAATTGTACAATAATCATTAAATCTTGAGGATGAACAGATTTAATAATAAAGTCAAAATGCCCAGCTAGCTCCTCAACGATATGAACCAGTCATATTAGAAATCGAAGTTTAAACAAAACTAATATAAGTAAAATTATTTGCATTATGTTTTAACAGATTAATTCAATAAATAATTCGTTAATTCTCTTTAATTAAAAGTATCTAAACTTATCCAATATATTTTTTAATATATCGATTTTCAAACTGATGAACGTTAATATTAACAAAACTAAATATAATTATCTACATATTACTGTATAAGCAATTATGAAAACAGTCATCTTAATAATGAAACATTTCATACTGTTTATTTGATTTCATTTATAGTAAAAATTACATACATACATTCTTAACTAGATAACTAAAATAAACAAATATGTTGATAATACATTTAAAACGTTAATAAAAACAATCTCTTTAGATAATAAATCAGAATCATTATAGTTTAAAAACTGTTAACATCATTTGAAGTTATTTTAAAAGTTATGATAGCCACTGGCATAACCACGAGAAATCAAAAGACTCAGACCATCTTTGTAATAAAACATTAAGATTCAGAAAAATAATTTAAATACGGAATAATATAAATTAACAAGCCAGTATTTATGTTTATATACTCTATCGTATACAGAGCCTTCCAGAGTTGGTATGGTTCTCGGGAATAGATCAGGTCGTTTTGCTTCTCAACGGTCTCTTTAGCCTTTGTGTTTTGTTTTTTAACAAATAAAATAAGTAGAATGGCTTTTTTTATTAATAAAAATCACTTTTAAAGATTTTATTTTCTGTTCGTAAAAAAATGACATTAATTTTATATTGATAGAAATCACTACAGACTCCTCCTCACGAAGATCCTGATCGTATACATAATAAAGGAAAGCTTTATTAAAGGGGGTTATATAAATCGTTATATGTATATCTTGGTTCTCACTTTTAAACAGGAACTGATTATACTAGTTGAGAGAGCATTAAAGTTCAGTTTAAATTAATTAAGTTTCCACGAAGTTGATATAACCTACTTACAATAGCATTTAAAATAACCTCAAATGTTGTTAAATAAGAATCATTAAGTTTAGAAACTGTTATTTTATCATGCAATTGTTTCTGCTATATTTTAAAACGTGTTATCTGTACTTTTTTACAGTTTAGTTAGTTTAGAATATACTGTACAGCACTTTCAAAGTTTATTAATAAAAATATTTTTATACGAGCAATTATTTATTGTGACGTCGTCACAAAGCTGCAATGTTTAATCATATTTTTTAATTTATATAATTTAAAATATGTGCTCTCCACCCCAAATTATTAGTATTGGCTTGCCCCTATAAATCATACTTTTCCTGTAACGATAGATTCGTGACGGTCATCTATTAATTGCTTTCAGACGTTCAAATTAAAATAATGTGACTTCCGGTTTGCATCAGAAGTTCGAATACAGTTAATTAGGACCTCTTGCCTCTAAGGTTTCCATATCTGTCTCGTCTTTCATCTATCTAACTCCGTTCTCGAGATTAAGGGAAGACGGACGGACGGACGACAGTCGGAATTTATTAATATAAGTCTATAATTTTTTCAAATTGTGAAACAATTATTTATATGTGCAAAATAATAAATACGAGTATTGTACGATACAAGTACATAATTAGTACAAAACTAAAAATAAACTTAATATCTTTTAAAACAAAACCTGAATTAATAAAATTCTTTTCAGTTACATAAACCGTTTCCATTTCATTTTTTCTACCTACAATAAATAAAATTAAAATGAATGCTAGTTTTTGAAATTTGTTTCTTTTTCGAAGATAATTTTACAAAAATTTATCTATAAATAATAAAATTTATTTAAATTAACTTTAGTACACAAATTTACTTTATTTAGGAATGATTGTACTAGTCAGTTTAAATACAAGAGTAACTATTTACGGAATAAATTTAACTTTTTTCACTGATATAAAGAATAAATCACATTCTTAGCTCAAGTTACTTTCAATCCACAATAGTACTGTGTGATGTATCGATAACAGAACCGTTGATGTTCCATAGCTATGAACAACAATTCCTACTATTAGGCCTATTATATGCGTAAGTTAAGCTAGTTATTAGTTAAGAATTTTTCAGCCAACAGCCAATTAGATGAAAAATTCTTATTGCACAGTTGTGTTAGTAAGACCAAAGCTATACAAGGTGGAGAAGCGAAAAATAAGTAAACCAAAGTATGTAACAGACTGTAGTATAAATGAAAATATATATTTTATTAGCAGATTTGATAGATATTATTTATAATATTTTTAATACGCGTGCTTTATGAGAAATAGTAATGAGAAATAATTAATTATTATTGTTATATAAAGTAAAAGAATAAAGTTAGTTTGTCCTAATTTAATGACATTCTTCAAAATTTTTAGGTACGTACAGTATAATAAGTCCTCGCTTGACGGCATTTCGTTATAGCGTTTAATTGCGCTTAATTGTAATATTTTAAAGAGTCGGGCTAAATGAAGATTTTACTATTTATTAGCACTTACAATTCTTTTATATATATATAAAACCAGGGCCGTGGCGTGCTATGATGTAAGAGATAGATGTGGCAGCATCAGGCGGTGGTATAAGCGGCATTTAAGGGGTGGCATAAGCAGCGTTTAAGAAGCGGCATTTCGAAGACTTGCATCATACTAAGAAAATCTACCGCACGACCGTGTATAAAACTCATCTCTACTCTCAAAATTAAGCTCTTTGCCATTTTTATAATACAGTACAGTAGAACCTCGAAAACTCGGCTCTCGATAACCCGGCACTCCGGATAACTTGGCCACACCCTGGCAGGGCAAAAAATCCTTAGTTAATTAATTTTCATTATAGACAGCTTTATAAAAGTATAAAAGCTCTCATAAAGTATTTTTCTGAGGTCTGTCTTATCAGGTAAATTACTGTACACAGTGTATTCATTAATTTTCATTTTCATGTAGTAAAGGCTCTATGCCTTCATAAAGGACGTACTTTTCCTTTGTTTAAGGGTATTTGGGCAGTTTATTCTCTGTTGTATTCTCAAGTAAACAATACATACAAGTACAGTACAGTATTTTCTGAGGAAACACTCGTACTTATTT